AGTGGGGTTATGTGGAAGAAAAGAATGTAGGTAGGTGGTCTTTATATCCTTGTATATAGTTTTAACATACGCATCCATGCCATTGACAAAACAGGTGCTTAGAAAGTGCATGTGCTAGGGCTATTGGATCTGGACTGTGGACATCTAGAAAACTTACATGGCAGAGAAAAAGAAACAGAAAACTAACTTGTTACTCACTAGAGGTTATCTGGTTTTTTGCAGCTCAGATCTTGCAATTTGTCTGTCTGTCTGTCTGTCTATCTATCTATCTATCTATCTATCTATCTATCTATCTATCTATCTATCTATCTATCTATCTATCTATCTATTTTATAGTGACTGGACTGTTTACAGCTAAAAGAATTATGGGTACTGTATGATTTTTCTTCAGGAAAGAAAAAGAAACAGCAAACTAACTCTTGCTACTCTCTAGTGGTTATCTGGATTTTTGCAGCTCAGATCTTACAGCGTCTGTCTGTCTGTCTGTCTGTCTGTCTATCTAATTAGAGTGACTGGGTTGTTTGCAGCTTTAAAAAAATTATGTACACTATATGATTTTCCTGCATATCCTACCCTTCTGCTGGTTTTCCATTTGAGTTTGTTTGTCTCTTCTTTGGGCTTGCTTCTCCCTCCCATTTTCTCTGCCTGTGCGGCATAAAGTGAGCAAATCTTTAGTGCACTTGAACTCTGCTTCCTTACCTCTCTACTTCCCACACGGCTGCCACCACATTTCTCACTGCTGTTTAGCGTGTTGCTTTCAAGTGAAGATTTTCAAACTGGGAGATTTGTGTGGGGAGAAAACAAAGGCGGTGTTCAAGGCAAGCAAGCTGTGCGTTCCCTTTGCTTATGCATGGAAACATTTGAAGGCTGAGTTTTTCCTTTACCCAATTTTTGAAAATCCCTTCCCACAACTTACATCCACCCGTTTTACCAATCAAAATAATACATTCACGCTCAATTGTCTTTGAATGCTTATAGAAGTACGCTGACTCACAGGTACACCACGCTTAATGTATATCCTATAGTTTTAATAGATGTTTCAGATGGGGAGCTTTTAGCCCTGCCAATCAAAATGAATTAATGAGAGGTGTTTTTTTTTCCGGGATAGGAAAAAAGATAAGCAGTGGGAACACATAAGGGGATTATATGGAAAAGATGATACCATTGTAATAATCTTTCATACAAGGCAGGGTGGATGAACCAAAATTGTCTTGGAGTTAACCATTCAATTATTAGTTCAACAGATACAATTCTTCCTGATAAAAGGATGATTTGTAGAATAGTTGCCTTCAGTGGTAGGTGGACTTACATTTCCTTCACTCCAGTTCATGCAATAGTCATGTTCAGCACAACCCAAAACCCAAAATGGGTTCAAGATTAGGACAAGAATGGAATGAAGGACAAGAATAGAATGAAAAAATAGTTGCTTGAAGTAGAACGTGATGCAGATTTTTCTTTTTGTGTGGATTTTTTTTTCTTTAAATGTTAAAGGAACTCTTATATACATGACATATAGTCATCTCTATTTCTAGTTACTAGTCCATTAAAACAATCATATCATGTACTGGAAGTTTTTTTCAAATTTGTTACCTCGGTAGTGTGAAAAAGGTAACAGCCAAGTTTTGGGGGGCATCCTTCTGATGAATGCAATAAGTCTTCAAAAAGGACTTTTTGTTAGATTAAATGAGTTTTTAAATTACAGGAAGCATACACAATAGTTCTTAAAGCCTGCTGTCACTGATTTTGCAATAGGCTATTCCAGCACTCTATTAAATATTTAATACAATACAATAGCAGAGTTGGAAGGGAGCTTGGAGGTCTTCTAGTCCAACCCCCTGCCTAAGCAGGAAACCCTATACCGTTTCAGACAAATGGCTATCCAATAACTTCTTAAAGACTTCCACTGTTGGGGCATTCACAACTTCTGGAGGCAAGCTGTTCCACTAATTAATTGTTCTAACTGTCAGGAAATTTCTCCTCAGGTCTAAGTTGCTTCTCTCCTTGATTAGTTTCCACCCATTGCTTCTTGTTCTACCCTCAGGTGCCTTGGAAAATAGTTTGACTCCCTCTTCTTTGTGGCAGCCCCTGAGATATTGGAACATTGCTATCATGTCTCCCTTAGTCCTTCTTTTCATTCAACTAGACCTACCCAGTTCCTGCAACCGTTCTTCATATGTTTTAGTTTCCAGTCCCCTAATCCTCTTTG